ACTTTTCATGCTAWACTAATTTTCCACAACCTCTCACTGCTTCCTGGTTTGCCCAGTGTGTGTTTTTTATAATGAATCATGAAATTTTTCTCAGGAAATGTAGACTTGAGGTGAATTCCATCTTTACTTCAGCGTTGTTAACTGTCATTCATAGAGTTTATACCTTGGTAAACTCAAAAATGATTATAACTCACTGCTTTGGTACCTAACACACTCTCCACCAACAGATCAAGATCTTTCTTTGAAACTGTTTGGTGGTGATTTGGCACAAACAGAAACTGAAACAGAGGAACAGCCAGAGGCTGCTTTTTATTTAATTTTATTTATGAATTCTCTGCATTTTCCCTATTGCATACAATCACAGGAGGAGGGCGCATACTTACGACGCTACCAACTGAACATGTGTGAAGGGAGGAAGACAACCTCTCGTTGCATGGAAGCYCCGTCTATCGCACACACAAATGCAGAAACCAATATAAAACAAACATACTAAACTAAAAATAAACTTATTAATAAAACGCATACTATCAGGAGGATGAGGAGGAGGCACTTGTGTCCTACGTCGAGCAGACAAACTTTTTCCTCAACTGAACAGAAAAAAACTCCACCAGTTAACTCCAAAGATCCCAAAATCTGCCACCTTTAACCGACTGTACTCACCAAGCCACTAAGTTCATTAATAACAGCCCAGCTGCAAACTTCTCCTTCGCTGTCTTAGAAAACAGTAGGGGAGACCGGGGACAGTAGCAACAAGGGACGGTTGCAACACGTCATTTATCTCCAAACAGAAACAAGCTAGAATAATGACATTCACACTGTACAACACTTTCCCCAAATGTATCTGTCACTAGACAATTTGTGCAGAACAACGACTCAGCGGTTAGCATCGATGCCTCACAGCAAGAAAGTCCTGGGCTCAGACCTGGGGTCTTTTTTTTTTTTGCATGTTTTCCTTGAGTTTGTGTGGGTTTTCTCTGGGTACGCGGCTTTCCTCCACAGCACAAAAATATGTACAATAGGCTGCCTTCAGGCCCAGGCTGCCGTTGCAAAAGAGATCTGGAAATCTCAATGAGATTTGCCTGGAAAAATTATACTGATTTAATTTAACATTACCTCACATATTGTGCATTTGTTTCATCTTCTTTAAATCTTCAATGAACTTTGGCAAAGAGCTCCGCCTCCACCTAATCTGTCATTTTTTTTAATCTGTCATCACTCAGGAGGCCGAAGTAACAAAAACTGWATCTAGACTCTGACTCTGATCGTCACTGATTTCTAATCCCTTTAAACATGCAGTCTGTTGTTCTCTCTACCGTTACAGTTGTGTCCTTCATCAGCAGATAATGACCMATCATCTTTTTTAAAATGGAGTTTTATCACTCATGTTGTAAAGGTTCACTGACTGTTTCTGAATCATGTGTCTTGACCAGCAACACATCCCCAAACAGCGTGTTTCTGTCTACATTCAGATGATGGATCTTCTTAGATTAGATTGAGAAAGGAACAATGTAGAAACAAATGTTTTTTGACGTGTGGAAACAATAAACTGCTTTTCCCACCGGCGAAAGAGACTCAGCTTGCCATAAATGTTATCTCTTTTTGCAACTGTATCGTTTTGAGATGATAGTTCGTCTATGGCCATGCAGGTTTTAAACTCTGTATCCGTGCTGTTAGTGTGTTATTAAGCATTTAAATACAAATTGTTGTATTTTTTTGCTGCCATGAGGGCAGATTTAACATTTAGAATAATCCAAAGTGTGTGGGCTGCTTTTGTTGTTGCTCATAAACTAAATAAAGTGTTAAAATTAACTAATAAACTTTAAGGTTTTTGATAAAATCCTGTTTCCTTCTCCTTTAAGCAATGTTAAATAACATTTACGTTTAAGTAGTTTTCAAGCAATATTATGAATCATTACTAGAGAAATTATCTGACAACTGTTTGTTTGATTCCAATTTGGGAAAATACTGCACCCAACAATACCTAAAATCTGCAGATGTTTAGTAAAAAGTGCTTTAATTTGTTATATGAATGCAACTCATTCCATTCACCATCTAACTGATAGCGTAAGTGGCTCTTGAGCTAAAACAATAACACATTATATCCTCCAGAGCTCAATYACTTCCTCCAACATCAAGTTGCAACAGGTTTAGTTTGTTTAAGCACTGCCAAGTTAAAGAAATGTTTCAATCTGAACTGAAATCCCCCTCAGATTTGGACAGAATCGTGTTGAAACACGCTGACGACATTTTGTGCCCAACACGTAATTGAGCCAGTGAACTCTTCTTCACTCCACGAAAGGAAGGAAGATGACGAAAGGCAGGAAGCCGAGGCCGGTGTCAGCAAATTCAGGAGTAAAGCAGAGAATGAGTTTCTGAATGAAGCCACTCAGCATATGACAGGAACTTTCCTTGTTTTGTGTGTGTGTGTGTGTGTGTGTGTGTGTGTGTGTGTGTGTGTGTGTGTGTG